TAGATAGATAGATATGTCTAACACTTTATCTGTCTGTCTGTCTGTCTGTCTATCCATCCATCCATCCATCCATCTAGTTGTCTATCCATACAATCCATAAATAGATAGAAGATAGATACATACATTCTTACATACATGTAAACATCTATCACTTTCTCCATTTGTCTGTCCGTCCGTCCGTCCATTCATCCATCCAATTCATTGGCGTATAGATAAACAGATAGCTAGCTAGCTAGCTAGCTAGCTAGCGAAATAGATAGATAGATAGATAGAAATGCCTATCACTTTCTCCATCTATCTGTCTGTCTGTCTGTCTATCCATCCATCCATCTGCCTATCTATCCATACACTCCATAGATAGATAGATACATACATACATACAAATGCCTATCACATTCTCCATTTGTCTGTCTGTCTGTCTGTCTATCTTTCTACCTACCTATCCATCCAATCCATAGGCAGACTGATAGATACATACATACATTACTTTCTCCATGTATTTGTCTATTTGTCTATTGATCTATCTATCTATCTATCTATCTATCTATCTATCTATCTATCTATCTATCTATCCAATCCATAGGCAGATATTTATTTATTTATTTACTTACAGTATTTGTATACTGCTTTTCTCACCCCGAGATAGATAGATACATATAACTGCTTATGGCTTTCTCCATGTATTTGTCTATTTGTCTGTCTGTCTGTCTGTCTATCTATCTATCTATCCATCCATTTTCTATCCATACAATTCATAGATAGATAGATAGATAGATAGATAGATATGCCTATCACTTTCTCTATCTGTCTGTCTGTCTGTCTATCTATCTATCTATCTATCTATCTATCTATCTATCTATCTATCTATCTATCATACAAACAAACAAACAAACATACATACAAACCAAAGGTACATACCTACATATAAATGCCTATCACTTTTTCCATCTATTTGTCTGTCTATCTATCTATCCATCCAATCCATAAATAGTTGGATATGGACATACATACATATAAATGATCACTTTCTCCATCTGTCTGCCTAGCTATCCATCTTTTATTTTATTTTTCATTTTTAATTGAATACAAAATAACATAATATTCGAACAGATAATAAATGTCTATTATAGGCTTACATTGAGGCAAAGTATTTTATATTATCTAATCACATACTTTACATGTTCATTCACATTACATTTTTTAATCCCACCTCCTCCCACCTCCCTTTCCTACCCCTCCTCCTCATTACTCTTCTCTCTATATCTTTATCTGTTACCACGAACACAATCTTCATAATCTTGGTACATTGTCTCTGCTGGCTTCATCATCTTCTCCCATTTCATATCAACTGCCCATTTATGTAATTACTTCTATCTTGTCCTCATATGAACCTTCATGGGGTATGCATGTAATAATATGTGCTTGGACTTGCTCAAATAGATTGTCTATCTATCTATCTATCTATCTATCTATCTATCTATCTATCCATCCATCCATCCATCCATCCATCCATCCATCCATCCATATGTCTATCACTACATCCATTCATCCATCCATCCATCCATCCATTCATCCATCCATCCATCAATACATTTGTATCAATCAATCTATCTATTTATAATATATCACTGAAAATATCATTCGGCAATCTCTAGCATGAACAAAGAAGCTAACTGGATAACAACAACAACAACCACAACAACCCCCTCCCCCCCAAATTTTTTTTATCCCTGATCAAGACGCCAACGTAACACGACTTTTGCCCCTGGGTTATCAATCTCATTATCATTAAAAAATGGGAAACGTTTATTAAACTGTAAAAAAGCTTTGTTTTTGAGTAATACATCCTGTAGCACAATTTTTTTCTAGTTTTCCAACGAATCTCTCATCGAGTCCCAGCCAAATCAACATAGTTTGTGCCACGAAAATGAAGTTTCTGAAGTAGAACAACTACTTCCAAAGTCAGCACCGCACAATTCGAACCAGGAATAGAACACTTATTTTTTTCAAACATTGTTACATAGTGTGATTCTATCCCTCCAAACTGATTAAACATGGAAGAACATGGGGGTGTCTTTCCATGTTTCTGCGTTGCTCGCCGCAGCCATGTTCGAGGCCACTGTTGCTGCGTATGAAGATTAAAATGGCTGCAAAGGAGGAAAAGCGATGGCAAACGGATGACGCCGTTGTAATACTAATAATACTAATAACTTGCCCTATTTTTCCACCGTTTGACGGCCGCAGATGCAAGGCATAACACGGCCGATACTAATGCACTTGAGTGGCTGTGGCTCAAGAGAGAGGAAAATTATTATTATTGCTATGGTGATGATGATTCAGAGTACCAAGAGCCAGCTACGTTTAGGGGCGAAACAAAACAAGATATTATTATTATTATTATTATTATTATTATTATTATTATTAACTCGGGATGCTCAAAGCTACCAAGTTTAGGAGTTACATAAAGAGAAGATATGGATGATGATGATGATGATGATACAGGATTCCCAAAGTAGGCTAAGTTTATGAGTTATATAGAGAGCAAGATAATAATGATGATGATAATAATAATATAATTCAGGATCCCAAAGGCTGGCTAAGTTTAAGGGTTATATAGAGAGCAACCCCCACGGTCCCATATCATTAAGCCGTGACAAGTTAAAGTGGTTTCGAACTGCATTAAGTCAACAGGGTAGAGCCAGCCTGGTGAGCAGTTGATCCGGGTTTTATTTCCATTGGAAATGATGGTTAAAACAACTCCGAGATGGGAGTTGTAGTCCCCTGCGTAATCCCCCATTTTCTGGAAGATTTGCACCTTTCTGCCTCCATCTTTTCAATCAGCCATCTTTAAAAAGGCACCAAACAAGACCAAGCAAACAATGGAGGAAACACCCAACCCTCTAAAGAAGAACCTTCCTGTTAGAAACCCATCGACAAGAAGGTCCCTGAGCAAGTGCAGAGCGCTTCCTGGGCATGAAACACAGCACCATCATTCCTGCACATTAAAATAATAATAATAATAATAATAATAATAATAATAATAATAATAATAATAGGGATCAGATTATTTCTTCAATCCAATTGGCTTCTTTATTCTTACAAGAGATTTCTGAATTATATTTCCAGTGATATAAGATAGATATATAAATGAAGATAATGATAAGACATATCTATCTATCGATCGATCGATCGTATGTATAGAGAGATAGACTGTCTATCTCATGTATATATAGATATACAGATAGACACACTGTATGTATATGTAGATAGATAGATCCATAAATATACATACATACAGTCTGTCTGTCCATTGATCAATCGATCGATCAATCGATCATATGTGTGGATAGATGGATGGATGGATGGATGGATGGATAGATAGAAGGCGGATGGATGGATACAAGGATGGATTGATGATAGAGATACAGATAGACAGATAGGCAAGCAGGCGGACGGATGTAAGGACAGACAGACAGACAGACGGACGGACAAATAGATAGATATACAATCTATCATATGTATATGTAGTTAGATAGACATACCACACTGTATGTATATGTAGATAGATACACACATATACTGTATGTAGATGTAAATAGATATAGTCAAATGTATATGCAGATATATAGATAGACTGTATGTATGTACATGTGTGTGTCTATCATTCGATGGTATGTATGTACATGTAGACAGATACACACATAATCTATCTATCGATCTATTGTGCGTATATGTAGATATACACATTGACATACCGCATGTATGTATCTACCATTAGATTGTGTATCTATGGAGATAGATAGGTATATACAGTCTATCTATCTATCTATCTATCTATCTATCTATCTATCTATTGTATTTACATGTCGATGCACAGAAAGACGTACTGTATATTTATGTTATGGTGAGATTTTGTAATCAATTTACTCAAATGTAGAGAAATACAGTGGCGGAGAATATCGACACATGCAAACGATAGCCAGATACATCGTATGCATGTACATGCATGTACCTATCTATGTTGATGTATGAGTATGTATGTTGGAGTGTTCTTTATGACGCAGATAGAAGAGTCACAATTTATCATCATCATTTATTTGGATTTTTTCCTAGCTCTATTATTATTATTATTTGCACTCTTTCTTCAATAGAAGTTACGCCCACAAATATGCTATATATTTATATATTACAACATGAACAAGGAAGTAACTACATTGCAATCTATTAGAGAGAGGGATTGCCAAGTATTGGGAGAAAAGTCCCATTAATAATAATAATAATAATAATAATAATAATAATAATAGCAATTGAAGATAATGTCAAAAAAAATAAAGATGACAATGTTGATAATAATTATATCATTTGAAATTAAAAGACATGTAAAGAGCCAACGTCAAAATAATAATACAAAATAATAATATTAGAACACCAATAATAATAATACAAAATAATAATAATCCAATGATGATAATAATTGCAATGGAAGAAAATGTCAAAATAATAAAGATGACGACGACAACGACGACGATGATGATGATGATAATATAATTTGAAATTAAAAGGCGTGTAATGTCAAATTAATAATAACACAAAATAAAACTATAACACCAATAATAATAATAATAATAATAATAATAATAATAATAGACCAAGGAAGAAGTATTAATTATACAAAGAATAACAACAATAATAAACAGACAAGGAAAAATAATTATTGTTGTTATTATTATTATTATTATATAAGGAAGGATGACAATTTTAATAGCAATAATATAAACTGAAATTAAAAGACGTGTGAAGAGCCAATGGCAAAATAATAGCAATACAAAATAATACTGATAATAATAATAATGGACAAAGGAAGAAGTATTAATGATACAAATAATAATATTTAATAATCATCATAATAAACAACCAAGGAGGAAGTAATATTTGTTATTAGTCTATTATTATTACTATTACTACTATTAAGTTAAGGAAGAATATACATAAAACCTTACCTCTCATCTTGGCTGTTCTCCCTTTTTCTCCTCCACTTTTTATACAATTTCCTTCTATTCTTCTGGGAATGGCATGAAAAACTCAGGAAACTAAAAAGAAGAAGTAAAAAAACAATCTAGAAATGTTTAGGAGCCTCTTCCCTATTAGGATGTCAAGCTTTGAAATGATGCTGATGTTGCTGAGTATTAATTAATAAGTACTAATGAATCAAGAGAGGGGTCCTGAGAAGAAGCGGCAACTGCACAGCTTCCCTTCTTATCCTCCTTTCCCCTGCTTTCTCCTTCCCTCTCTCCTTCTGCTCTGCCAAGAAGAACTGCTAACCTACTTTCCTACACATGACATCTCGTCCTGGCCCCGCCCACCCCGCTGCCAATCACGGCCCAAGCCACGCCCCTCCCCCAAGGCCACGCCCACTCCTTCCTCACATTATATCATTCTGGAATGACATAATTCACCTTTTTTCTTTCTCTCTCTCTCTCCTTCACTTTAGCCATGTCTCTCTTATACTTCAACTGAAAAAGAAGAGAAAATTTAATATTAAATACATAGCTATAATAATATTTCAGTTATTGATCTCCTTCAATCAGTTATTGATTACTATTAATCTGTCTATCACTCATGGATCTCTCTCTATCATTGACCCAAATCATCTGTCTATAGCTATCTTTGATCTAAGTCATATTTCATTAATATATTGATCATAGATCTTTATCACAGATCTATAACTATCTGATCTATTGATCATAGATCTATCATTGATCTAAGTCATCTCTCTATAGCTATCTTTGACCTATTGATCATAGATCTATCATTGATATAAATAATATATCTATATTGATCTTTGATTGATCTATGTATCATGGATCTATCTCTATAATTGACCTAAATAATCTGTCGATAGCCATCTTTAATTCATCTATTGATTTATCTGTATCATTGATCCATCTATCTATAGTAGTTATCTTTGATCTATTGATCATGAATCTCAATTATTGATCTGAATCATCTATACCTATCTTTGATTGGCCTATCTAACTAACAGAGGGGATAGGGTGGAATATAAATAAAGAATTATTATTATTATTATTATTATTATTATTATTATTATTGCTTCTTTCTCTTTATCTATTGTACATTGGACTCTCATTGATCTACTTCTCTCTGTCTTTCAATATTCACCATGGTTCTTCCTCTCATTGATCTCAATCGATCAATCATCACTTTCTCTCTCTCTCACTGATCTATTTATATCTACCTTTGAATATCCATCATGTTTTCTCTCATTGATATCTATCGTCTAATAATAATAACAACAATAGCTTTGATCAATCATCTATAGCTTTGATCGATCAATCAATCTATTTATTATTTCTCTTTCTCTACCATTGATCTACTTATATCTTTGAATATCAGTCATGTTTCTGCTCTATCTATCATTGATCCATCCATCCATTTATCACTAGCATCTATCTGTCTGTCGATCTATTTCTCTATTTATCATCTACTAATCTCTCTTCAGCTATCCATCCATCTTCTTATCTGTCCATCTATCCGTCTGTCACGATCTATCTATCCATCTCTCTCTCTCTCTCTCCCTCCCTCCATCCAACTCTATCTATCTGTCTGTCTGTCTGTCTGTCTATCTATCTATCTATCTATCTATCTATCTATCTATCTATCCATCCATCCATCTATCTCTCTCCATCCATATCTACCTATCCATCCATCCATCCATTCATCTCTATCCATTTGTCAAGTATCTCAGTTCCAACTTGTGTAGCTCTGGAGGAGTCTTCTATGAAGGATGTCACAGAGAAGCACAAGGGGTGAAGATATCAAACTTCGGTCGCACTACTTGCCTCCTATATAGGCCTAACTACCACATCATGAATCACTCAAGAATCCTGGTATCTGGAGGTTGCCCCTTTCCACATTCCAGAGCCCAGTTCTCCCCCCCCAAAAAAATATATTTGGGCAATTGAGTTTTATGGCTGGTTATGTCCTATCCTCCCTTTTGGCCCATGGTCATGTGTTCTGTGTCATGGAGGCTGGTTGACAGTTGTATGGCATGAGCTAGAGATCATGACATCATCCATCCATCTCTATCTATCGAGCCATCCATCTCTCTCTCCATCTATCCATCCATCCATCCATCCATCCATCCATCCATCCATCCATCCACCAATCTACTTATCCATCCATCAATCCATTAACTCTATCTATCTATCTATCTATCTATCTATCTATCTATCTATCCATTCATCTATCCCTATCTATTGATCCACCTCTATCTATCTATCTATCTATCTATCTATCTATCTATCTCGATCTATCTACCCATCTTTCTTTTCTATCCACCTCTCTCTCTCTCTATCCATCTATCCTTATCTATCAATTTATATATCTATCTATATATCTCCCTCCCTCCCTCCCTCTCTCTCTCTCCATCTATCAATCCATCCATCCATCTATCTATCTACAGTGGGGGGGGGAGGGGAAGTATTTAGTCAGATACCAATTGTACAAGTTCTCCCACTTCAAAAGATGAGAGAAGCCTGTAATTGACATCATAGGTAGACCTCAACTATGAGAGACAACATGAGAAAACACATCCAGAAAATCACATTGACTGATTTTAATGAATTTATTTGCAAATTATGGTGAAAAATAAGTATTTGGTCACCTACAAACAAGCAAGATTTCTGGGTCTTACAGACCTGTAGCTTCTTCTTTAGGAGGTCCTCTGTCCTCTACTCATTACCTGTAGTAATGGCACCTATTTGAACTTGTAATCAGTATAAAAGACACCTGTCCACAACCTCAAGCAGTCACACTCCAAACTCCGCTATGGTGAAAGCTGAAGAGCTGTCAAAGGACACCAGAAACAAAATTGCCACCCTGCACCAGACTGGGAAGACTGAATCTGAAATAGGCAAGCTGCTTGGTGTGAAGAAATCAACTGTGGGAACAATAATTAGAAAATGGAAGAGATACAAGACCACTGATAATCTCCCTCGATCTGGGGCTCCACCAAGATCTCACCCTGTGGGGTCAAAATGATCACAAGAACGGTGAGCAAAAATCCCAGAACCACATGGAAACCTAGTGAATGACCTGAAGAGAGCTGGGGCCAATGTCACAAAGGCTACCATCAGTAACACACTACGCTGCCAGGGACTCAGATCCTGCAGTGCCAGAGGTGTCCCCCTGCTTAAGCCAGTACATGTCCGGAGCCAACTGCAGTTTGCTAGAGAGCATTTGGATGATCCAGAAGAGTATTGGGAGAATGTCATATGGTCAGATGAAACCAAAGTAGAACTGTTTGGCAGAAACACAACTTGTCGTGTTTGGAGGAGAAAGAATGCTGAGTTGCATCCAAAGAACACCATACCTACTGTGAAGCATGGGGTGGCAACATCATGCTTGGGGGCTGTTTCTCTGCAAAGGGACCAGGGCAACTGATCCGCACACATGAAAGAATGAATGGGGCCATGTATTGTGAGATTTTGAGTACAAACCTCCTTCCATCAGCAAGGGCACTGAAGATGACACGTGGCTGGGTCTTTCAGCATGACAATGATCCCAAGCCAGGGCAACGAAGGAGTAGCTTTGTAAGAAGCTTTTCAAGGTCCTGGAGTGGCCTAGCCAGTCTCCAGATCTCAACCCTATAGAAAACCTTTGGAGGGAGTTGAAAGTCCGTGTTGCCCAGCGACAGCCCCAAAACATCACTGCTCTTGAGGAGATCTGCATGGAGGAATGGGCCAGCATACCAGCAACAGTGTGTGCCAACCTTGTGAGGACTTACAGAAAACGTTTGACCTCTGGATATATAACAAAGTATTGAGATGAACTTTTGTTATGGACCAAATACTTATTTTCCACCATAATTTGCAAATAAATTTGTTAAAAATCAGACAATGTGATTTTCTGGATGCGTTTTCTCATGTTGTCTCTCATAGTTGAGGTCTACCTATGATGTCAGTTACAGGCCTCTCTCATCTTTTGAAGTGGGAGAACTTGTACAATTGATATCTGACTAAATACTCCCCACTCTATCTATCTATCTATCTATCTATCTATCTATCTATCTATCTATCTATCTATCTACCCATCCATCTAGCTATCTTTCCATCCATCTCCCTCTCTATCCATCTATCTATCAATCCATCATCCACCTATCAATCCATCCTGCACGACAGCTCCAAGAAAAATGCAGGGAACAAAATCAACCTCTGTACATGGCATTCATTGACCTTGCAAAGGCATCCGACACAATGAATCGCAGCGCTCTCTGGACCATCCTCCAAAAAATCGGGTGCCCTAACAAATTTGTGAACATCCTGCGGCTCCTCCATGATGACATGATGATAACTATCTTGGACAGCAATTGCTCCCAAAGTGACCCATTTAAGGTGGAATCAGGTGTCAAACAGGGATGTGTTATTGCCCCAACTTTATTCTCTATCTTCATCGCTATGATACTTCATCTTCTTGATGGGAAGCTTCCCACCGGAGTGGAAATCATCTATCGGACAGATGGCAAGCTGTTTAACCTCAGCAGACAAAGCCAAAACCAAGCTTACAACAACATCTGTTATAGAACTCCAGTATGCTGATGACAACGTTGTCTGTGCACATTCAGAAGATCTACAAGCCACTCTAAACACCTTCGCAGAAGCATACGAGAAACTCAGCCTGTCATTGAACATCGAGAAAACCAAAGTGCTCTTCCAGCACTCACCAGCCAACCCCTCTCCAATGCCAGGAATACAGCTTAATGGTATAACATTAGAAAATGTTGACCATTTCCCCTACCTTTGCAGCCATCTCTCCACCAAAGTCAACATCGACACCGAAATACAACACCGCCTGAGCTCTGCGAGTGCAGCATTTTTTCGAATGAAGCAGAGAGCAGGGAGACCAAGGTGCTTGTTTATAAAGCTATTGTTCTCCCAACCCTGCTATACGCCTGCGAGATGTTGACTGTCTCCGACGTCACATGCAATTCCTGGAACGATTCCATCAGCGCTGCCTCCGGAAAATCTTGCAAATCTCTTGGGAAGACGAGCAGACAAACGTCAGCATGCTGGAAGAAGCAAAGACCACCAGCATTGAAGCAATTGTCCTCCACCATCAACTCTGTTGTCCGGATGCCCGACCACCGTCTCCCAAAGCAGCTGCTCTACTCCGAACTCAAGAACAGAAAATGGAATGTTGGTGGACAGGAAAAGAGATTTAAAGATGGGCTCAAAGCCAACCTCAAAAACTCTGGCAAAGACACTGAAAACTGGGAAGCCCTGGCTCTTGAGTGTTCCAGCTGGAGGTCAGCTGTGACCAGCAGTGCTGCAGAATTTGAAGAGGGACAAATGGAGGGCGAAAGAGAGAAATGTGCCAAGAGGAAGGCGCGTCAAGCCAACCCCGTCTGAGACCGCCTTCCACCTGGAAACCAATACCCTCACTGCAGAAGAAGATGCAGATCAAGAATAGGGCTCCACAGTCACCAACGGACCCACCGCCATGACACTGAACTTGGAGGACCATCATCCTCGGACTATGAGGGATCTCCTAAGACAGAAGAAGAAAGATCAATCAATCCATCACTCTATCTATCTACCCATCCATCCATCTATCTATCTTTCCATCCATCGCTATCCATCTATCTATCAATCCATCTCCATCCATCTATCCAGCCTCCATCCATCCATCACTCTATCTATCTACCCATCCATCTAGCTATCTTTCCATCCATCTTCCAATCTATCCATTTATCAATCCATCCATCATTCTATCTATCTACCCATCCATCTATCTTTCCATCCATCTCCCTCTCTATCCATCTATCCATCATTCCATCCATCCATCCATCACTCTATCTATCTACCCATCCATCTAGCTATCTTTCCATCCATCACCCTCTCTATCCATCTATCTATCAATCCATCATCCATCTATCCATCCATCCATCACTCTATCTATCTACCCATCCATCTATATACATTTCCATCCATCTCCCTCTCTATCCATCTATCTATCCATCCATCTCCATCCATCCATCACTCCACCTACCTACCTACTTACCCATCCATCTACTTATTTCTGTCTGTCTGTCTGTCTATCTATCCATCTATCTATCCATCTATCCATCCATCCATCTATCCATCAACTATGCATCCATCCACACATCCATCTATAGCATGTATCTCTAGGGCCATAGCGGGGGGTGGGGGCTGATGGTGGTGGTGGTGGTGGTGGTGGTGGTGGTGGGGGTTAAAAGTTCAGCCCTGCCCTGAAATGTGTCAGGTTAAAAAAGAAACCTAGTTTACTCATAACTTGTTTAATCAGCTAAAAATATTGAATAAACCAGGTTTGGAGGGTGAGTTAGAACCACTTTGGAGGTTAGAACCCTTAACCCTCCCTCTAGCTATGGCCCTGTCTATCTCCCTTTGATTTCCTTTCAGCTAAAACATTTTAAGAGGTATAAAACCAAGTTGAAACTCAGTTTAAAAAAATTAAAACACGGCAATATATTGAATCGAGGGAGACCAATATGATTAATGGGGAAAATAATGGGTTGCACAAGAATGGCGTTAAAGAAAAGTCTCAGTTTGAGGAAAATGGGTGGAAACAGAGAGACAAAGATATCCAGGGCATCCTCAAAGAGGACTAGCACCTTGACAGGTTTGTGAAGGTGCTAATACAACCTGCAATGAACAGACTTCCTACCTGGCTCTTCCACCCTAAGGGCGCCACCTGGCTGAGGGAGAAGAATATGGCAATTTTGAGGTTTTTAAGCAGAGGTCAGGAGGGATTGGATGCTGCTGTCCTTTATTGCAGAATGGGGTTGGTCTGCATGGCCTTTGGGGTCTCTTCTAACTCCATGAGGATGGATGGTCATTTGTTGGGAGGGATTGGATGGTGCCGTCCTTTATTGCAGAGTGGAGTTGGACTGGATGGCCTTTAGAGGTCCCTATGGCACCCTTTTTTGTCCAATGGTTCCAAATGTGTTGGGGCCGGGGGGGGGGGGGTCGGAGCAGGAGAGCAAATCAAAGGCCGGCTACATAGATCTGCCGCCGGTTTCCTAGCACCAGCCTGGCCCACTAACCTACTTTGAGCATAATCAACGTCAACGGCTTTCTATGACAGATGCAAGCAAGGGGGGCGAAATATAATAAATCCAGACAGGGTCGACATCAGGTTTCAAGAAGATGGAGATGTCAGTTTGGTCCCAAAAAGGGGAGAAACAGACAAGTGGATTTGCCTCAAGGAAAAGAAGCACAGCAATAGGATTGAATGGAACCAAAGATATCCAGAGAACCCCCATAGCATCATCATCATCATCATCATCATCATCATCATCAAAAAAGAGAGTGGACATCCTTTTGGGAGATGCTTTAGCCAGAAATCCCACATCATCATCATCATCATCATCATCATTAGCGGTCCCCTGCCAGGAGTTGCTGTGGCCCAGTCTGGTGATCTGGAAAATAAAGTAATGAGAAAGTGTTGGCTTCTAATATATGTAATTCTTTGATGTTTGTGGGTAAACAGTATTTCTTGCTGTTTCTTTGTCAGAGTTGATGTGGAGAGTGTCTGGTTTGCCTACTCTGGAACATGGAACATATCATTGTACTTCTTTAGGAGTCTCTTTCAAATCTATGATAGTATATCTGTTATATACACATGTGTGTGTGCGTGAATCATATCTATCTATCTATCTATCTATCTATCTATCTATCTATCTATCTATCTGTCTATATCTATATCTATGGCTGGATGTCTCTTTGTCAGGAAGGCTTTGATTATGTTTTCTTGCCCTGGTGAAGGGAGTTGGACTGGACGGCCTTAAGGCAGCATTTCTCAACCTGTGGGTCAGGACCCCTGGGGGGGTCACCATGGGGTGTCAGAAGGGTTGCCAAAGACCACCAGAAAACCCAGTATTTTCTGTTGGTCATGGGGGTTCTGTGTGGGAGGTTTGGCTTTGGTGGGGTTCAGAATGCTCTTTGATTGTAGGTGAACTATAAATCCCAGTAACTACAACTCCCAAATGTCAAGGTCTATTTCCCCCAAACTCCTTCTGTGTTCATATTTGGGCATATTGAGTATTCGTGCCAAATTTGGTCTAGATCCTTTGTTGTTTGAGTCCACAGTGCTCTCTGGATGTAGGTGAACTACAACTCCAAAACTCAAGGTCAATGCCCACCAAGCCCTTCTAGTGTTTTCTGTTGGTCATGGATGTCCTGCGTGCCAAGGTTGGTTCAATTCCATCGTTGGTGGAGTTCAGAATGCTCTTTGATTGTAGGTGAACTATAAATCCCATCAACTACAACTCCCAAATGACAAAATTCATTTTTAGTGATGGTCACTCCTTGGGTTAGTAGGTGTCTTGTGGCCAAATTTGACGGCAATTTGTCCAGTGGATTTTGAATTATGATGTCACTCAAAACGAACAGAGCAATTATATATATATAGATTACTATCTTGGGTACCCAGCGTTGCCTGGGTTATTTAAAAAAGTCAGTTTTTTAATTGTACAAAGTGCATAAGGTTGTGGGGGAACTACAACTGACATCATGCCAGGTTCACCCCAAGAATCTCCATCAGTACTTAAATTTTGTTATGTTGGGCAAGTTTGCTCAAGATGTATCATCGGTGTGGTTCAGTGTGCTCTTTGGCTGTAGGGTAAACTACAACTCCCACTATGGTGAGTCAGTCCCCTCAAATCCCTCCAGTAGGTTGAGCAAGCCATGGGGGTTCTGTGTGCCAAGTGTGGTCCAGGTCCATTATCGGTGGAGGTTTCTGATTGTGGGTGAACTACAACTCCCAGAAAGGAAGATCAGTTTCCCCAAACCCCTCCAGTAAGCACATTTCGGCATATCAGATATGTGTGCAAAGTTTGGTTGAGATCCATCGGTGTCTGGGTTCACAGTGTTCTCTGGATGAAGGTGAACTACAACTCCCCCAAATCAAGGTGAATTTTCCCCAAAGACCTCCAGTATTTTTTGTTGATCATGGTGGCTCTGTGTGCTATGTTTGGTCCAATTCCATCTCAGTTCAGAGTGTTCACTGGTTGCAGGTGAACTATAAATCCCAGTATCTACAACTCCCAAATGTCCAGGCCAATTCCCCTCACAACCCACCAGTATTGAAATTTGTGCATATCAGATATGCATGCCAAGTTTGGTCCAGATCCAGCATTGTTTGGGTTCACAGTTCACTATAACCTACAATGTCTGTGTAAGTGGACACTCCAGCCACATACACACATGCCGGTACATATTTTCACTTTTATTGTGTGTATAGATGACCTTAGGTACCCAGCAATACCCAGATATGGTACTTTCTAATGCTGTTGATTACAAATAGTCGTTGCTTGGTTTTGGATTTTATGAATGTTCCTATTGTAAATACATACAGCTCTCTGAATGTAGGATGCACATGGATCTTTGGATGTGGGTGGACTACAACTCCCATCACCCTCCCACAAGTCCTCTTTGAAATCCTGCCAGTATGAGGAGTATATTTGCCAAGTTTGGTCCAGAGCCATTGTCGGAGGGGTTCACAGGGCTCTCGGTATGCGGGGGGACTACAAATCTCATCATCCTGTGTTATTTCAATTGTCGGTGGGGTTTGCAGGGCTCTCTGGATATGACTGGACTATAATTCCCATCACCCGGTGTCATTTTCATCAGCGGGGTTCACAGTGCAGTGGGTGGAGTACAACTCTCATAATCATGTATCGTTTCCATCATCGGTGAGGTTACACGGTTCTCTGGATGTGGGTGGGCTTACTACAACTCCCATCATCCTGTGTAACTTCCATTGTTGGTGGTGTTTGCATGGCTCTGGATGTGGTTGAACTCCCATCACCCTGTGTCATTTCAATAACTGGTTTGGCTTGCATGGCTCTCTGGACATGGGTGGACTACAACTCCCATCATCATGCGTCATTTCTGGCTCTGGTGGGGTTCGTGTGGCTCTCTGGGTGTGGGTGGGTTTACTACAACTCCCATCATCTGGTGTAATTTATATTGTTGGTCGTGTTTGCATAGATCTCTGGGTGTGGGTGGACTACAGCTCCCATCATCATGTGTCATTTCCATCATCAGTAAGGTTCACATGGCTCTCTGGATGTGGGTAGGTTTACTACAACTCCCATCATCCAGTGTAATTTCTATTGTTAGTGACATTCGCATGGCTCTCTGGATGTGGGTGGACTACAAGTTCCATCATTATCTGTCATACACACACCCCCACCAGTGTTTTCAGTTGGCCATGATGGGTCTTATGTTGCAAATTTGGTCCAGATACATAGATACTTTTGTTATATATGCACACACACACATATTAGATGTATATGTGTACATTTGATTGAATGTAATCTCTTTTCTTTTGCCAAGAACACAGCAAGAAAGGAATTACGCTGCCTCTCTGGCTGTCCTCCAGCCTTTTAATCCGGTCCTCAACGCTGCGTCTTAATCGTCTTTGGACAAGGAATTCCAGCCTCCGTTTATCCACTGCCTATATATATCGCAGAAATAATACATCCCCATGCAGTGGGGTCTGTATCTATCTATATACCGTAATATGTTTGTATGTATCTATCTACTGGAGAGTTTGGGAGGGGTAGACCAGAGAGCACTTTGAACCCAACGAATAATGGATCTGGACCAACATGGCCAATTATGAAGACTAGCATTGGGGGGGGGGGGGAACCTGACCCAGGATGGTGGGAGTTGTAGTCCGCCCTCACCCAGGGAACACTGTGAACCCAACGGTTCATGGACCTGGATGAAACTTGACAAATATACTCCCCATGACCAATTCTATTGAATATTGGCAGTATTTGGTGGGACTTGACTCAGGGTGATGGGAGTTGTAGTCCACTCACATCCAAAGAGCACTGTGAACCAAACTGATGATGGATCTGGACCAAACTTGGTACACACACCCAACATGACCAACTTTGTATACTGGTGGGTCTTTGGGGGGGGGGGGGGGTTGAGCATGGATGATGGGAGTTGTAGTCCACCCGCATCCAGAGAGCACTTTGAACCCAACGAATAATGGATCTGGACCAACATGGCCAATTATGAAGCTCAGCATGGGGGGGGGGGAACCTGACCCAGGATGATGGGAGTTGTAGTCCACCCTCATCCAGGGAACACTGTGAACCCAACGGATCATGGACCTGGATGAAACTTGATAAATATACTTCCTATGACCAATTCTGAATATTGGCAGTATTTGGTGGGACTTGACTCAGGGTGATGGGAGTTGTAGTCCACTCACATCCAAAGAGCACTGTGAACCAAACTGATGATGAATCTGGACCAAACTTGGTACACATACCCAACATGACCAACTTTGTATACTGGTGGTCTTTTTTTTGGGGGGGGGGTGTTGAGCATGGACGATGGGAGTTGTAGTCCACCCACATCCAGAGAATATTGTGAACCCAACTGACAATGTATCTGGACCAAAAATGGCTTCCATACTCAACATGGCCAACTTTGAATACTGGCAGCGTTTGAGTGGGACGTGACCCAGGATGATGGGAGTTGTAGTCCACCCACATCCTTATACGTTTCCTAATGGGACCATTCCTAAATCCCCCAAACAAGCAAGACCCAATCAGCAAAATGCCCTTGAGGAGCCATTGTTGCTGGGGAAACTGGTGTTGATTTCCATGACTTGAGAAGACCTTTGCAGCGGGTGAGTGAGAGAGCGAGAGCGCACTTTCTCAGCCTCAAACTCCTCCGAATCAACTTTGCCCAGAAAAAGAAAAACAACTTTATCGGAAGTGATTTCTGGTGGGACATCTGGCCCGACGGAGAGCGATACCAGAAATAAAAGTCTCGTAAAAAGATATTGTTTTGGTTCAATGGAGAAAGTAATCAAGGCTATTTGCGGTGTTTTTTTTTACGATGAAAGAGGACAGCAATAAGAAGGCAAACACCAGCTTGGCTTTATAAGCCTATTAGGCCTTTACATAATAAGGCGCCATCTCCGCTGAAGTGTTTGCCTTCAAGAATGAGAGAAAGTCACTTTTTTAAAGGAAAAGTGGGAAAGTAGAGGAAGAGGATAATGTTGTTCCAACAGGGCTTTGCAGAAGGGCACAATGTGGGGTCAAACCGCTTTTATTCTACAGTGTAGATGCACCGAATGAATGCTGCTTGTGCAAGGCACATCCGAAGGAGGGAAAGTCGAGATTTTTTAAAATGCAGAGAATGGATAGGGATTATAGGTCCCTCACTTCCCACCATAATATGATATCATGTAATAATTTAAAATATTGCGTAATATGAAATATGAAATATAAAATAAAATATAGCATAATACGATATGATAATATATATTATCGGGGGGGGAGAAGGGGGGGTATAAATATAGGAAATAAATAAATAATTAATAAATATGAAATATAAAATTAGAAATGTAATAAAATATTAAAATATATCGCATATAAAATATAAAATA